CTTGGTCCTGAAGAATTATTGCTTTTAGGTAGTAGAAGCATTTTATCTTGTAGCTTTTTGGGAGTGTTTGCCAGGTGTTCATCACAGGAAACAAACAAAAGTGTACTCATGAGGCCTCCAGTTGAACTTCTAAATCTTCAACAGTGTTTTCCACAGTTCTTTTCTAATAGATGTTTGGTGATGAGCTCTGTTCTCATACGGACATTTTAAACCTCTCTGATTATAATTTAAGATTCTCATTATTGTTGAGGAGGAAGCACTTAGAGTTCTGTTCTTGACTCTTGGTACTGAAGGCACCATCCTGTGAAACTGTGGCTTGGAATTAAACCTAGTGTGAGGCTGTTGTGAAGCTGAAAGCATTGTATAGAAAGCTCAGCTATAATGAATGAACTCTTGATGTTTGTTATCAGTGATGTGTGGCTGACAGAGAAATTCACCAAATGACCAACAGTTCACAGAATCACAGAATGGCCAGGGTTGGAAGGGACCTCAAGGATCATGAATCTCCAACCCCCCTGCCACATGCAGGGCCACCAACCTCCCCATTTAATACCAGACCAGGCTGCCCAGGGCCCCATCCAACCTGGCCTTGAACACCTCCAGGGACGGGGCATCCACAGCCTCTCTGGGCAGCCTGTTCCAGCACCTCACCACTCTCTCTGTGAAGAATTTCCCCTGACATCCATCCTAAATCTTCCCTCATTCAACTTTAAACCATTTCCCCTTGTCCTGCTGCTATCAACCCTTTCAAAGAGTTGACTCCCCTCTTGTTTCTAGGCTCCCTTCAGGTACCGAAAGGCTGCAATGAGATCACCCCCCAGCCTTCTTTTCTTCAGGCTGAACAAGCCCTTCTCCTTCAGCCTGTCTTCGAAGGGGAGGTGCTCCAGCCCTCTCATCATCTTTGTGGCCCTCTGGACCCTCTCCAGCAGCTCCCTGCTCTCACACTGTGAGCTGCACACAGTCCCTTTCTTAAGAAAGAATGGAAGTAAAAATATGATCAGTTAGCTTGCAGTATTTAAAACTGCAGTAAACCAATGATTGTTTTACATTACTTCAAAACTTTCAGTTTCAATCTTTGTATCTCATGACTAAATTTTCTCATAGTGGTTACAGCTTCATAGTTTGGGGGAAAGGTATTGAGATACAGATGAAAACTGTAAAGACAAGCTGTACACTCTTGAATTCTGATGTACAGAAACTCTGAAAAGCATTTGCAGCCCAAATACCTAGTTTAGACCAGAGCTTGTAGTTTTTTGGTTTGTTTTCTGGTGGTGGTGGTTGATGTTTCTGTTTTGTTTCCTTGCATAATTCCAATGCCTCTCACATATTTTCTAGGTCGTGGAGGACCCCCAAGACCAAACAGAGGGATGCCTCAAATGAACGCTCAGCAAGTGAATTAAACAAATTCACAGGATTACGTGAAAACGCCAAAAACACACTGGCCAGTGTACTATACATGTTACCAGAAGAGTTATCATCTATTTGTTCTCCCTTACAGGAAGTTTGTTGTAAAGGGACTATTTTCATTACCCATAATGACAGGACTACAGTTGCCAGCTTTATGTTACCTGGATATGGAAAGAAATAAACAACGTTTACTCTGCATGTTCTGTCCTAAGCATCATCTTGAGCCTTGCACATGAGATTCAGATTCCTCACCCTTGCTAAGAATAATGCAAAAAAGGCAATTTTCAGGGTGATCCAGTCTCTCCATGGTTAACTGAAGTGGCAGGAAAAAGCAAAGACTCACTTCTGACATTAAAAGCGATGCAACAAATTTGGATATAATCTGCAAATTCATAAAGAATTACTGTGGTGGCAAAACCTAATGTGACGAAACTTAATGTTCCCATGAAAGGATTGAAAAAGTGAAGTGTGGCTTGGTAGAGCAACTGCATTTCAGCTTTTTCATATTAAACTGAAGCACTGAACAGTTACAGACGTGTAGCGATGCATATTTCCCTAAGCAGGCTTGCAGCCAGTTTTTGACAAAGAAGAAGCGCCCTTAGCTACAGCGCTGCTCAGCACCAGGGCCCCGTTTACTGTGGCTAAGGATGTAGGGTCGCTTGCATAACTGCTAATGTTACTGTGTAATTTTTTTAAAGAAAAAAGCTTTGATTTGGCACTTCAACAAAATTTTGCAACAAGTGCGAGTTATAATCTGGTTGGCCACTGTATATTTGATGTGAAGTATTTAGATATCTCTTTGAAACACATTTAAGTTTCTTTGATAGCAATGACTTTTGTAAGGATTGGTACTCTCTATCATTCCTTATGACTTGCACATTGTCTGTCACTAATACTTGACTTTGCTGTATTATCACCTAAATAACTGATGCCGGTACTGATGGAAATCTCTAATGGATAATCATAACACTTTTGGTCACATGTCCTTTTGTCTTTCCTGCAGCCTTGAAGGTTTTAAGAAATCTCAAATGCCCGCTGCTGCTGCCCTTTTAATTGCTATCTTTTGAAAAGCACCAGTATGTGTTTGAATTGATTTCCCCTTTTAAGGGAAATGACAGCCAGCAGTTACAGTTCTAATGGTATAAGCAAGACAAATAAAACATGTTTATAAAAATTGTATCCTGAACACTGGTTTTCAGCGACTGAAACAAATCTGATGTAACGGGTTTACACTGCGTAAGGTTTTCTCTTTTCAATGAAAGATTTTCCTGAATAGTTGTCAAACTCCCGTTTTCTCATTTGATTCTAATACCTGTGACATCTAGGAAGTTTTTCTTCTTGTGGAGACTCTCCTTCTCATCAAGGCAGCAATGTCTAGAAGAAATGGCATAAGACTAGGAGCTGGAAATTACCAAGTTTTACTCAAGTTTTTACTGTATACTTGTGGTATAATCTTTGGAAAATCACTTGTGCCTCACTTTTGCGCACATGCACTCTCTCTGCAGTGGGGAGAATATATTGATAGCTGCCTCCATAGAGGTGTTGGTAGTTGTGTTGCATTTATAGCATGTGCAAGAAGAAAAGCGCTGTGTTGCTCATCAGATAATTCCCACGTGTGGAAGGGTGACGTTAAGGAACAGCTACCCATTGCTTACCTGTTATATACAGAACTGAAAGTTGTTTTTGCTGAGAGTTTTGCCCAGAGGGACATTTCTACGTGGTATCATAACTGAACTTTCAGAACAACTTGTATTTTTTGACTTTGTTGCTGAATAGTGCATACAGATAGGTGGTAAGGTCACTTTTCCATTTTACATGTGAAGAGCACAAACAAGAAGAGTTTTTACTGAGGAGTGATAAGCTTTTGAAGACAATGCTACACAGCAAACACCTTGAAACAGTGCTGATGGCTAGAAGCACAGCAGTTGTAGTCAAGGCCTAGGAACATTCCAAGCCAGTGTAAAGATAAAACCTGCAGTCCGGTAAGAAGTTGCTGTTCTGTGTCTTTTTTTAGGAAGCTGTTACTGAGCTAATAGTCCCAATTGTTTTTTTTAACTGGAAAAAAAAAAAAAATAAAAGACAAACCTTTTAATGCTGAACTGATGTAGGAAACAGTGATTTTTTTTTTTTTTTCTTTTTGTGTGCATCAGCTTACTTTGAAATGGTTGGTAGAATATAAGCTATTCAGCCTTTTCTGTTGCACACCAAATGCGAATTCAATAGTTAATTGTAGTTGGATAGTGAACTTGCAGCATACTGAATTAAAGACCACTGAATTGATCAGAACATTCCACTTAAGTTTTTTTTTTTTTTTTGAAGCATAATTTAAATTTATTAATAAAACGTGGGTGTTTGAGAGGCCTCTTATTTGAGATGCAAAGTTGTAAGCCTTTTCGTGTATGAAAATGGTCTTTAGAATAGCTGTTCTACTGTATGCTGATAGAGGGAGATGTGTAACGATAATAACTATAAACAAGTACTTAATACATGTTTAATCTGGGAATTTGCACTGACTCCTTTAATCTCAATACATGCAGCTAATAAACAGTATACTGAAAAATTGCCTCGAGTCACAGTATGGCACATAGATTCATTAACTGGTTTTCTGGCCTGTTCAGGGGGTCTGTCAGTCAACATTATGGTTGATTGTAAGGGTCCAGCTTGTTTTCTTTGCTTGGTCCACTGCAGTGCAAGTGTGGTGCTACACATTTTAAAGAACTGTATTGAGAGAGAGAGGAATTCAGAGCTTTCAAGTACCATCACTGCTTAGATTACTTCTAGATCTGAGTTGCACTCAGATCAAAAGCAATTTGAGATCACTTTCATTTGGGGAAAAAGAAATCTGTCTTCTGAACATGGAACAGTTACAAAATGATGGTAAGCAGGTGAAATAGGTAGCAGTTCTGGCCTGGTTCTGTTGTAGAGCCCTTTCTTTTGACACCAGGGGGCAAATATCGTACTTTTGAGCCTGTATATACATACATCAGTTGCTCTCATGGTGGTTTACTTGATTCTTCCCTGAATTAGTCTCTTTGGAGCATTACAGACAAGTAATGACTGCCTTCTGGCGTGTGCAGCTATTACGAGAGAAGTGTTTTTGTTCCCAGCTGGGACTTCATTATTTAGTAGCAAGGTTGTGATAACATACAACTTGTTTGAGAACCAGCTTTTAGCAATGCAGTGTGTCATAAAAGGATTCTTGAGTAAATCACGTGTGAGGTGGCGCCAGAGTTTTCCAGATGTTTCTACCTAATGTTGCTGTATCTGGGACATTTCAGACCTTTCTGCACATGTTGCATAACTTAAATCGTGAGCTGCTTGTCGTACCTAAGGCCAATCTTGTCCTACTTAGTTGTGTGTACTGGCTCTCTTCTAAAGAGTCCACCAATACAAATTTTGGATTTTGTTACAGTAAATCTATAATCCTAGGCTTAACTGCCATTTTTCTTTGCAGGGTATGGCAGTAAAGTATTGAAGTCTTATGATTAGACATCATCCAGAGTAGATGCAAGAATGATAGTGATGGCTGGATAATAGCTAATGGTGTATTCTGCTGGGACTTTGTAACTTTGAAAGAATTTCTTTACCTTGAAAGTCTTCTCCATACATCCCACATTCCTTATGTTTTAGGCAGATTATTTGATTGGGTTGGAGGTTATCTTCGTGTACGTTGTCACTATAGAATGGACAAGCTGTCCTTCTCTCCCCAAATGGCATTTGAATAATTAGATGTTGAAATGGCTTTAACCCTAGGCAAATATTCAAGGTGTGATAAATAATAGTGAGAAAGCAGTAACTTCCTGTGGTTAATTGCAGATAGGGCAAAAACTTTGTAATCCAGCAGAATAAGGTAAATGATCAGAAGGCTCTTGGCCCTCCTGGTCTTTATTCGAAGGTCTGGACGTAACCAAGCTAAGTAGCTGACTTTTTTACCATTTCTTTGCAAGAATAATTTGTTATGAATGCTTATCTGAGGTGCAGATGTTAAGTGTCAGTGGGCAAAATTGTGTGGTATTCTTCAGATTTCTTATCTCAAGTCTGCTGTAGATAGAAAGGGACACGAGGAAGCTGCTTGACATTAAATTCCATTAATAAGACTGTCGAAGTCACATCTTGAAAAATAAAGCTCTTCCTCTTGTCCGTGCAAAGCTCATTTTGCAACTAAAAGAACTGCCTCAGTCTTTCAGATCTGTGCTCCTATTTACAGTGTTCCATCTGCATTTAGTGTGGAACAAATGAAGGCATTTAATTATTTGTGCTGGCACCATCAGTTCTGCAGATAAGATGGGTAGTTAACTTTTACCTCTGGGTGACCTGAAAATCAGTGCTTTGTCTGAGAAGCAAGCAAAAAATTGTTCTAAAGAAGAAAATTTTCCTTTTGAACTTCAAAAGAGAATGGTTTTCTTTTTAAAACTTGAGCTTAAATATAGTTATCATCATCTTGTGGAAAATGCATTGCAAAACTGCAATAGTGTCCTTGTAATTATAAATTATAAAACTACTGTAGTTATTCCATCACAAGATCACAAGCTAAGTGGGCAATTAGTCTTGTACTACTGTCAGATTTCTTATGTTCAGTGGCAGAATTAAGTACAAGGAGTTTTTATATTAACTTTGGCAAAATTCCATCATTTAATGTGAGATGGGCATACTCCGTGCTCATGAAGAAAGGTAATGACTTAAGCTGCTTTTGTTTGGCCATTATGTTTTTTCAGAGGGAGAGGGAGAAGGTCCTTAAAACTCCATCTGCAACTACTTGCATTCCCTGGCAATAAATGTTTTTCATCCCAATCAGCACATCATCTAAGATGAAATAAGGATGATTAGCACGGCACCTGGCTGTTCCAGGATTGATATTGCATTCAAATCATCTCAAGTTAAAACTGAGGGATGTAACCTGAAGGGAAAGCTGTAAGTGGACTTTTAAAGAAACTTAATGTCTCTTCCTGTACCTGAAAGAAAGCCCTCACCCTCATCTACTTTTATGCAGCTTTAGAAGCAGCATCTTGGATTTCTGTCTCATAAACTGGATATGTTGAATTTCTAGTGTGCTATCAAAAAGCCTCTGATAAGAAATGAATTTTCTAAATGGTTTATCTATTAGAAGAAGTACTATCCTATTCATTTTCTTAGGCTTTCTGAATATGATGTAATTGTTATTTGTAATTCTGTAGGTCTAGCATTAATGGAAGGAAGGAAGGAAAATTGTTTCCCAAATTGACATCATAAAGTCAACTTGAGCAGTGTTTCAGAGAACTGTATTAGCAAAATGACATTGTGACTTGACAGTTGTGACTGAGTGAAATTGATCAGCGTTAGCCCTTAATGGGATCATGGGCTGCACCAAAAGTTACGTTTCTCCAGCCCCCATCTCCCCTGTTCCTTTATATTCATGAGATAATCAGGCAGGTGTAACTGGCTCAGTCCAACTATGATGTCCAGTTTCGGCTTTGTATAAATGTGCTCAGATACCTAATTAATGGATCAAGAGTTCAGCTGATTTTTTGTATCCATTACACTTGTACTAAATGAAAATATATTTCATATATATTTCATAATTTTTAAGGCTATTCCATTTTAGAACAAACTTTAGTAATGCATCTGCTGCACAAAATAAGTTCTCAGACTTACCTTCTCGTTAACCTGCAGGCTCTGGTTTTCCGATGGCCTTAAACATTCCTACAACTTCACAGTTCTTTACCTCTCCATTTAAAACAAATTGGCTCGTGGCGTATGTAAGCACCTGAAACATAAGTAGTTTCAATGTTTTATGTCCTTTTAAGCAAATATTCCACAGCTATCCCTCAGGAATTGACTTGCTGTGCTTCTGTTGTGTTGCTGATTTCGTTTGGGTACCTGGCTTCTCCTCAAGGTTTGTTCCACAGCCTTAAAGAGTTGAATTCAATAGTTTGAGTGCACGTGTTGCTGTTTTGAAACTTAAATATCTCAGCATCTGCCCAGCGGTACTAAGCGCGCTCCATTATGCTGTTACGCGCTTTTTAAACGCTTCCGAACTCGTTCTGGCTGTATGAAGAGCCAGCAATAGCCACACTGTGCAGGCAGCTCGCTCGGCTGACGCTGTAGCTGCAGTTTTACCCGACAGCTTGAGCGGTACTTTTATTGAGAAGCAAGGTAACTGACGTTTCTTAGGCTCTAATGGCTCATTACCGGACGATACCGTAGCACACAGCCTCGTTATTTTGCCGTGCACGCGCCCCGTCCCGCCGCCCGTTTCTCCGGCCGCAGGGCCGCCATGGCGGGGCGCTCGCTCGAGCAGTCAGACGTTGCAAGCGATGTTTATTTCGGGGAAAAAAAGAATTAAAACTTTTTCAAGCGCGCTTCAGCCCGTTTTTACATCCGGCTGCGCCATCGCTCGGGCACGCGTGGCGCAGCCTACGCGCTCTCCGAACCGCCGCCGTTCGGACCCGCGACCTCCCCTTCCGCCGAGCACGGTTGCCGCCCCGCGCTGAGGGAGCCGCGGCGCTCAGGCGCTGGCCAGGGCAGCCTCGCGCGGGGTCCTACTTGAGCGGCGGCGCGCGCGCCTTGCGCCGCGCGGTTCCCACGTGGGGTGCGTGGAGCGGAGCGCGGCCGGGAGCCGTCGGTAGCGGCTGGGAGGCGGGAAGGACCGAGCGCTCGGCCGGCGCCATGCAGCGCCGCAAGGTGGATAATCGAATCCGGGTGCTGATTGAGAACGGGGTGGCGGAGCGGCAGAGGGGCCTCTTCGTGGTGGTCGGCGACCGCGGCAAGGACCAGGTGAGCGCCTCGCGGCTGCGGTGCCGGGAAGGAGTGCTGGGATTCAACTTCACGACGCGTTTAAATACCCTTTCGTTTTGCCCGGCGTTGCTTGGTAGATACCGTGGCTGCAAACTTAAGGATAGGTCAGCGTGGAACGTTCATAGAGTCGTTTGAGTTGGAAGGGACCTTAAATGCCATCTGGCCCACCTCCCCTGCAGGGAGCGGGGACACCCGCGCTACGTCAGGTGCTCGCAGCCCGTTCCATCCTGGCCGTGGATGGCTCAGGGATAGCGTCCACCTCTCTGGGCAACCAGTGCCGGTGCCTCACCGCCCTTTTCTTCCATCCAGTCTTTTTATCTGAAACAGTTTGCCCCCATCTCGTCTCAGCAGACCCTGCTGAAAAATATATTGCTCCTTGTTAGTTTATGAGTGCGGTTGTGCATTGATGTTCCTGTGTCTTGGCAGGTGGTTATACTTCACCACATGTTGTCCAAGGCAACTGTCAAGGCCAGGCCCTCTGTCCTGTGGTGTTACAAAAAAGAGCTGGGCTTTAGCAGGTAAGGTGCCTTTTACATCTCGTGTTGCAGTAGATGTCTGAGCGCTCTCTGAAGGAAAAGCGTTGCGGCTGCTCTGCTCAGCATGGGCTGATTTGGTTGTCAGGAGAAACAAGTCTTATTTTAGCAGGAGATACAGGATGCTTGATTTTCCAGAGCTAAAATTCAGTTTCAGGAGTGTGGTTGGCATCAACGCTACGTACTTCTGCTTTCCTTCTGTAGCTCCAACACTAACCCTGTTGTCCTGGGCCTATTTCTCCCTCTGTTTTCTAATCTCAAATGGCCAAAACTTCAGTGCCTCAGTAGTATATACAGCCGGGTGCAGATTAGACGTTACTGTTGCTTTCATTTGAGAAAAGGTTTAAAATGTTAGTTCTTAGATTTACATGCATACTTGCAGTCTGGGCACAAAGCTGGGAAGGGTTACTTGAAACTACATGATTCCAACCAGATGATTTCTTCCAAAACCAGCTGGTTCTGGGTGGTTTCAACCACTTTGGGCCAAAGACATTTGGGAACATACCCTGAATACAGTATGTGTAATGCAAGACTTTTCCTTGGAGGCTGAGCTCTGAATTCCGTTTAGCCTTGAAATTAGGAATGAGTGCAGTCTTCTCAAACCCTTTCCTAAAAAAACTTACATGAAGTTTTGTTCTCCAGCCACCGGAAGAAGAGAATGAGGCAACTGCAGAAAAAGATTAAAAGTGGAACCTTGAACATAAAAGATGATGATCCTTTCGAACTGTTTATAGCAGCCACAAACATTCGCTACTGCTATTACAATGAAACTCATAAGATTCTTGGTAACACTTTTGGCATGTGTGTGCTTCAGGTAAAGAATTAAACTTTTTGCTTGAGGCATGTAGTGCTATTATTGGTGGCTTTGAGTTTAAAAGCTGCAGTAATTGTTTGTTGCTCCTGTTACTTAAGTTATGATGGCCTTACTTATCTTCTATGGGTTTTGTGGGGAGTGACATAGCCTTCCTGGGTAGAATTTTAATGGGAAGTTGGTTAATGCAAATGTTAGGCTAGAATTAAACTCAGATAAAGAATGTTTATAGTTTTTCTCTTCTTTTTAGTAGTTGCTATTGCACTTGTGAATTCTATGCAGCTTTGAAGGTTTTTTATTTTGCTTCCTAGGATTTTGAGGCCTTGACTCCAAACCTGCTAGCTAGAACTGTAGAAACAGTGGAAGGGGGTGGAATTGTAGTAATTCTCCTGAGAACAATGAACTCACTGAAGCAGCTCTATACAATGACCATGGTATGTTCAATGTAACGTGTCTGTTTTAGATGGGCAGCTACATTTGGTGATGCTAAGTGATTATTTTTTTTTTTGCTTTTGTTATGGGTCGTAGTCTTCCTTCCATTATTTTTGCTGCTCCTTCTTTCATTTATCGTGGAATGAGTCTTTTGTTCAGGTAGTTACACCAACCCTTGTTCTGCCAACAAGCTCAACTGTCTTCATTTCACAGTAGTTTTGGAAATTATTTGTGCTGTTTGCACACATGTCAAAGTGAAGGAAAAAAGTGTTTTCTGACTCAGTGCTAAGTGAGATTAGCTGCTTCATTCCTATGTATTTCTAAGGATAATTTTTTCACACTGAGTATACCTAACCTTGTAGCAGGGACAGCTTATAACGCCAGTAGGTGAATTAAAGCATTAAATTATTTTTACTTAGCATCCCTGTGCTGCTTTAAATGTTCTGTATGTAGTAGAAGTGGCCTTTTAATCAGACAAAAATATGTGAGACCACACTGAAAAGTCTTGGTGGGAGAAGTATGTTTTTAAAGCAATATTTGCAATATTTGATTGTCTCAGCAAACAAAGTCAGAATCCAGCCTGGGATGCAGTGTTGATGGAGAGTGTGATGTAGTGGGGAACAAATTGGATTGTCCCATGCGTAATAATCTTGTAAGTGTCACTGTTGGCGCTGCTCCTTCTCCAGACTGACTTTCTGTTTCAGGATGTACACTCTCGATACAGAACAGAGGCACACCAGGACGTGGTAGGACGGTTTAATGAAAGGTATGTTATTAGGCATTCAAAGCATGTCCAGGAAGGGTGTCTAGAGCAACACTGTATATTCATATTAGGAAAGTATCCTGTAAGTTTGCATGAGAATAAATAAAGCTTCTTTGCTGCTTCTGTGAAGTCTGTATGTACTATCCTGGAAATGAATGTTATATCTTGTTGGAGGAATTGTATACAAAATTTTAGCATTATATTACAAAGGATGTGTAAATGTGCCCAGATTTGTAAAATCTTCTGAGTTCTGCTCTTGAAATGCTGCACAGAAACATGTACACAGATGAAAGGAAATTCAGGTACTCACTGCTTACTGTATCTACTATAAAACATGGAACTGCTCACTGTAGAGTCTTCTCTGTGGCTTTAGAACTTTGTTTTAAACGCGATTCCTCTCCTTTTGTTCTATAAAGTTCTTACTGAGTGATTGAGCCCTTGCTCTAGCCATTGGCAAAATTTGTTCTTTTGCATGCAGGTGATATTTATGTGTTGTCAGAAATTAGAAGGATGAGTAAACCAGGCACTGACTGCAGTCTTTGCTGGTCAGCATTTGTCACAATTGTTGTCTTACACTTCTATGCAGCTACCTCCTGCTTAAATGCTGGAAATTACTTTCTAGTTCTCTCGGTGGATCATCATATGTTAGTGGTTTTCTTTGGAGGCCTGTGCCCCTGTAAGTGGATGCCTGTTCTGCATCTTTCCTGATAAAAGGCATGTGACCAGTTATGTGAACTTGTCTCAGCTTAGCTTTAAGCTGCTCTTGCTGTAAATACTTAGTACAGAGGTTTAATTAATCACCAAGATGCAATAGTGTTGCTAGTGCTTTTACTGAGTTGCCTTTGCTTGACTGCTCAGGTTCATTCTGTCTCTGGCCTCATGCAAGAATTGCATCGTGATTGATGATCAGCTGAATATCTTGCCCATCTCCAGTCACGTTGCAAACATCACACCCGTCCCACCACAGTCACAGGTCAGTAAGCAATGACAGACACTTTTCGTTGGGAGAAACCAGTCTGAGTTGAAAAGTGTTAAAGGTCTGAAAAAGAGGAAGGTTTCCTTTCATGCTGATTGATAGCAGATAATGGCTTTGTAGAGAGGATGAAAAATGTTCTGCAGAAAATATACCTCGTGTGAGTGAAGCACTGGGAAGATGTCTTTTTGTTCCTCTTCTTTTTTTTTCTTTCATTTCATCTGGTGAGTTGAAGCTTAACTGCTGTGGTTACTGTTTCAGAAGTGCATAGAGAGATTTTAAGCTGGTGAACAGTTAGGACGAGACAAATAAAAAGACTTCTCAAAGGCTGGAAGGTGGGAAAATTCTTTGGAAAGAAGCATATTAAAAGGCTGAGGATACCTGATAGCTCAAAGCTGTGGTACTTGTTTCAGTCTCTGAGTGAATTATGCATGCCAGATCTCAGAAAACATTCACTGAGTGCAAGCCAGACATGCAGCTTGTGCTGTATGCATTCCTTTATCACTTTCAGTTGCAGATGAGCAAAATGGAAATAAATTTAAACAGAAATCTGTAAGCTTTTGAACTGGTTTGTGTGGTCGAGGAAATACTATTGTTAATTCTACTGAAGACAGTAAAAACGTGAACAGCATTGATGCTAAAAAAAAAACCAACATGTCTTAACATTATAAAAACATTGACAGCAACAGAAATGCTCATCTCTTGGATGGATAGACAGATGTCTTTGGAATTTTCAGTGCCAATTAGGCAGAATCTTTCTACTTTAAATGGATTTCTTTTGTGTCCAAACTCATTGATTAGCTTTGAAAATATTTACATTGGTTAGAAAACTGACCAACTGCTGCTGCTTCCTTCTAAATTACAGTATGTACATCCCATATGACAGGCATAATGAGGATCATAATAACAGACTGAAAAATAGATTAAATTCTTCTGGAAAAATTGTCCGTGGTTTCTTCTTTCTGCCATTACCCAGTTACCATGTACTGAAAAATACTTTGCTTTTTTCTTCCAAGACTGGGAAAGCCGGGATACTTGTTGTGTAACCATTCTTCTGAAAATGCATTAAAATTGAAGTGTTAAATATCTGTCTATACACT